GCGCCGTTCGAGCCCTGTCCTTCCGGAGTTGGCGATCTTCCGTTGGGCGAGGTAGACGGGGCAGACGGATCGGCTTGCTGGGGTGTCTTCGGAGCTTGTTCCTGCCCCTCTTGTTTCTCCGGTGGCAATAGCACAACTCCCCTGGAGCTCGGCAACTTGGCGCCCGGGTTCGCATTGCCGTCTTTATCGTAGACCATGCCTTGCCACGTAACGCCAGCCTTGGCAAACTTTGTTTCCTGCTCGCGGATGAGCTGCGCCGCATGCGCCTTAAGCAATTCGCGGCTCTGCTTGTAGTACTGCGCATTGATCTGCGAGTTGAAGTACGACTTCTCGAGATTGTAGTTCGTCACGATCCCCATCACCGAAAGCAGCGTAGGGATTGCGAGCAATGACGAATAATATCCAAAAACCTCGATGTCTCCTGGACGTGCAGGTATGCCTCGCTTCTCGATCTTGTCGTCTACATCCGGGCTGGTCGAAGAGGATCGTCGAACGACGCAAAAACCTTTCTTGCCCTTGCAAAGCGAAGGTTCAACATCGCTGGCGATGGTGGAGGCCGATACGGCGAGTGCGACAGCGAGAAGCAGGATCAGCTTCCGTACCGAGCACATCGTTGCTTGCCGGTTCGAGAAAGGAGTGCGGGACAGTGGTGGTTTTAAGGAACGATGGTACCTGCTTCGTCGCATAAACTGGGGCGCGAGGTGGGTCACCTTGAATTCATCGATTCCCCCTGAAACTGCACGCGGCTGGCGTTCCGTTCCAATGCAGCAGGACAACCCCCACCGGCTAGCTCACAACACACAATGGGTACGAAAGGTTCAGACAAATGAAGCCACACAGGCATTTGAGATGAATGATGCAGCGTCGCTCGAGCATTTCTGCCCGAGCATTGAATTTTGAAACGCATTAACGTTGCGGGCGCGCGCGCGCGGGGCGGCCGAGGGGGTTGCGACCGAGATGAGGTCTCTGCGATGGTAGATACATGAGCTTAAGCAGTGCTTGCTGGAAAGGATGACAAGAATTTGAGGGGTCAAAAGTGTGGGGGTGAAAAGGCGATCCCCCTATACTGGCTGCGCAAATGCCTGTGCGGGAATCGCATTGCTGGCTTTGAGGTTCTGGAAGTTGGTGTGCGCCAGATTGTAGTCCCAGCCGTTCTCCTGCAGACACTGCACGGCAAAAGGGTAGATGAGACCCGTCTGTGCGGCGAGCTGGAGCGACATGGCATGTTGCTGCTCGTTGATCCCCGCTGCGGGGGCCTGATTCTGCAGGTACGGCGGCAGCGCTGCACCTCCCGCAACTGGCGCGCCCGGCTGCGGAATGACGGGATTTGCCGTGGGCTGCTGCGCCGCCTGCAAGGCTTGCGTCTGCTCGGCGGTGACATCGCCGGTGGTCAGACTGTCAGGCGCCCAGGCGGCGGGGCTCGAGTAGTGGCGCACCACCAGCTGGTCCGACAGAATGACGCACGGCCAGCCGGCAGCGGCCGCGGGGCTGCTTGGCGGTACGGGCGCAACGGCAAAGGTGCGGTCGAAGGAGCGGATGCCCTGGCTGGGTGCTTCGGCGTACTCTCCGTGCACATTGATGTAGAGGAGCGCCTCAGGTCGCTCGTCGCCCTTGAGCCGTGCACCGATCACGTTGTTGGGCAACACCCAAGCGTCGACGACAAACTTGGATGCGTCGGTGAGCGGATGCGACGTCTTTGGCAGCTTCTTGAGGCAGGCCAGGATCGAGCCTGGTCCGTGGTGCAGCGACTGGTTGCGCATCTTTGGAGCGTGGACGCGCATGAGATTGCGATTGCCGAGGTCCTGGTAGCGATCAAAAGTGAGCTCCTTCTGGTGAGGCATGGTGTGCAGGAAGCCTGCCGCACGAGCCCTTGGAGGCGGAACCACGTTGAGGCAGTACGAGAACTGAGCCTGCGGCGCATAAACCTCGCCGAGCTGGGAGCGGTCGGTGTCGTAGAGGGTGAAGTACTTTGAGAGGAAGTTGGGCATGATGGCGCCGGCTTCGGCGTCGACAAAGCCCGGCTTGTTGGGTACGGGGAAGTTGCGCAGAGGGACCTGAGCTGCATCCGCATCCACCTTCTTGGATCTGCTAGACGATGGCAGGTTGGCGAAGCCCGATTCGGTCGGCGTCACAGGTTTCTGGTCGAGCATGGTGAGCTGACGGAACTTGGACAACACCTCACGGCGGTACCCCTCCTCGTTGCCAGCTGCGACGGCACTGGTATAGACAGGATTGCCGGTGAGCAAGAGCTCCTTGAGGTTGGCCAATTTGCTCCTGCGCGATGCGAAGGTGTCAAGATCCTTGGTCCACTTGAGCTCGTTGCCTTCCAGAGATAGGTTCTGAAGGTTGGGCAAGTAGACGGGAAGCGAGCTGACGGGGCCGAGGCTGCGCAGAGCATTGTTGGCGAGCGAGACGGTGACGACATCGGGATACGTCTCGGAGCAGATCTTCCACATGGCGTTGGCGAGCTCCTTGGGAGCCCCGGGAACGCCGGGTGCCTTGACACCTTCGGACTGGAGAAGTGGGTCTGCACGCATGTTCTGATGGTAGCGGGAAGACGCGGTGGGATTAAGAAGAGTGGAACGAGTCAGAAATTCTGTCCGAAAGAAGAGTGAATGAGCCGATGAAACGGGGGCAAAAGCGTACCTCGAGGTTCAGGAACTTGGCCTGCGCATTCCAGCGCGATTCGAGGAAGCGCTTGATGAGAGAGACGACGTTTTGTGTCTTTGGCATATCGTTTCCGGAGAAGATGATGCCACCGCCTCCGGGTATGCGGCCGCCACCCTGTGCTTTGGATGATGAGATGCTTTTGAGGACGGAGGCTGTATTGCCAGCTCGGAGGCCGTCGTTGACGTTGATGGCAGCCTTCTTGCCTCTCCCTGCTGGACGATTTCCGAGTGGATTGGCTCGCTGGCGTGCTATGCGGCCTTGCAAGGAGTTTCCAGGCCCATTCTATCGAGGTGATGCCCAAGTGGCAACGCAGGTTTGTGGAAGGCGGATTGTCGATCGAAGCGAAAGATCAGTTGATTGCTCTGGTGTTTTGCAGGAGTGTAGCGACTGCCAGTCGATCGGGCGGCCACCATGTGACCTGGTTGCGAGGGCGACTTGTTGGACAAGAGAGCCTGCGGAAAGATTGGCAATCAGTCCACTACGACGGAAGGATGGAAGAACTTACATGATTGGACGGATCGGCTCCGCCGCTCTTGTTGCCTCTCCTGCCATTGCGGCTGCGGCTCGGACCAGCGGCGTCGCGCATGCCGACGTCGCCATCGACAACGAGACCTGCGCCACGCAGTGCAGCGCCTGCGATTGTGTGACCGCCGCGGCCGCCTCGACTCGGCATGGTTGCGCGGTGATGCAGATGCGGTGGGAGTGTGTGGGTGGTTGTAGGTTGTTACCAGCGTAAGTGGTCGCGGGCGAGACTTGCGGACGAACGCGATAGGCGGATGCAATGCGCGATGATGGACGTGCGACTCAGGCCGGCCTGACTGCGTTTGTGTATGGCAGACTCGGATGTGGTCGTGCGACGAGGTTGGCGCGCGCTCAACCGCCGACGATGCTGCAACGACGAGAGCGTGAGAGGTACGCAGCGCACTGGAGAAAGCTGATGAGAGGATGCGATGGGAGACACGTGAGTGGTGAGGATGGTGGTGGTTGTGGGTCAAGAGGACAAAGGATGGCTGAGCCGACTCAAAAGAGCAAAGCGAGATCCGACTCGAGACTCGCTCAGTTTCTTTTGCCGCACCAAAAAAGCTCCGCATCCCAGGCACACCAGCCTTAGCCGCCCTCAAATTGTTTTGCAGCCTGATTTTTTTGGTCGATTTTTATTTTTTTGTTCCTGCTCGAGCGCACTTTGGTCGCGACGCAAATGCGCACCGGTCCTCCACATCGGCTGAGGTGCTCACTGATGGCAGCTACAGAGGGGTAGCAACTGGTCTTGTCGGTCGAGTGATATATACCTGGCAGATTACATATGAGATGAGGCTAGAATACAATGATGCAACAAGGGGACGGGACGCATGAAAGCAGGGGGACGAGAGCCGAGCCGGGCCGAGCGAAGCCGAGCTTCACTTTGTAAAGATGCTGACGACGTCGTCGCCGGCGACAATGTGATTGAGGCCCACCTTTTGGCTCGTGGGGAACTTGCTGCTCTTGCCGTAGACGAGCGCATACTTGAACTTGTCGACGAGGGCGCGGTGGACCTGGTGACAGACGTGTTCGATCGTGGCGCCCTTGCGCACCACCAGTGGATCCGAGAGGTCGGGACGCTCGCCGCGCTTCTTGGTGTAGATGCGGTTCATGCCGAGCTTGTCCCACATGATGTCCTTGAGATAGTCGATGTTGAGGTCGGCTTCGACCGAGATGACGACCGAGTTGGGCTGCCTGGCGAGCTTGTCCATCTGTTCCATGCTGATCGAGTCGATCTTGTTGTAGACGTAGAGGCAGGGGACGTAGTTGCGGTTGCCGAGCACGACATCGATGAATTCGTCGACGGTGATGTCTTCCCTGAGCATGACATCTACGTTGTGCATCTTGTAGCCTTGGAGGATGGAGCGGATCATCCTCTCGTCGATCTTGGTGAGCGTGAGGCCCATGGCCTTGGTGATGACGATGCCTCCGGCGTTCTTCTTGCGCAGGACGACGTCGGGCTTGGACTTGTTGAGGCGGATGCCGACGGCCTCGAGCTCCTTCTCGAGCAGCGCACGGTGGGTGTCTGGCTTTGTGGCGTCGAGCATGATGATGATCATGTCTGCGGTCTTGGCGACGGCGACGACCTGGCGACCTCGACCCTTGCCCTCGGAAGCGCCCTCGATGATACCGGGCAGATCGAGGATCTGGATCTTGGCACCCTCGTACTCGAGCACGCCTGGCTGGCATGTGAGCGTGGTGAACTCGTAGGCTGCGGCTTCGGATTTCGTGTCTGTGACCTTGGAGAGGAAGCTCGACTTTCCGACCGAGGGGAAGCCGATCAGGGCGACACGTGCATCGCCCGACTTCATCACGTCGAAGCCCTCACCGGGCTTTCCGGACTTCTTTTGCGGCTCGAGCAGCTCATGTCGGAGCTTGGCGATCTTGGCACGCAGCTGACCGAGATGGTACCTGTACGGGAAGGGGTTGATCAAGGCAATCAGTATTGGATTGGTCGAGTCGGCAGCAGCAAACGGCGTGTGCACTTACTCTGTTGCCTTGTTCTTCTGGGTCCTTGCGACCTCATCTTCGAGCTCCTTGATCTTTTCGACGACACCCATATTGACGGATCAGGTTGCGCAAAGCAGGTCGTAGGGATGCTGTTGCGGGAAAGGGACCGATGAGGAGGAAGCGTCGAGGTGAAGCTTCCAGTCGTCGTGGCTGAGGCGCAGCTCCGAAAAGTTGCGTGGCGGCGATTTTGTTCAAGGTGTTAGGCTGGAACCACATACAAGCTCAATTTTTGACCGATCGATGCACGTGACCCGATCTAGGTCCGATCCATCCAAGACTGCCTATCAGGCAAAAACACCCTCGACCAAGCCGCTGAGCAATCGAACAAAAGCTGCTACGAACGGGGCTTCAAGGAATGCGACATCAGCGGCTGAGCTGAGCCACCGCAACTCTATGTCCCGACGCCGACGAAGCAGAGCAGGCACCGCAACGGTGCGGGAATCGAGCGCGGCGCAATTGCAGAAATTGTGAAAGCAACACGGCGGCTGGACTCGTTTGCGCTGGTGTGGCTGAGAGTGGACGAGAGAGCGAGCGCTTTGGCCCTTCCTGCGAGTGTTGTTCTGCGGAGCGAGAGCGCGTCGAGTCAAAAACACACCCCAACCAGCTCAGGCACTGGTCTCAGGCTCCTCACTCACTAAACAACACACGCACGCAACACACCCGCTCTCGCTTCTCTCCCGCACGCCTCGCCTAGAAACACTCTTTTTCCATTTGCTTTTCCACATCGCCGGCTCCTGCCTCGCTGTTTCGGACGCCCTCTCTGTACTCACCTCTATCGTTGCTTCCCCATCACGCCCGTTCGCCAGCCGTTGTCTCTAGCGACGACGCCTCCACCATCCTTGCCGGCTCGCCGTGGATGTCGCGCATCCCTCTTCCCGTACGCCAAGAGGATTCGTCTCCTAGCCCCTTGCAACCCTCCACGAACCTCCCTCGCTCCACTTCCACCTCCAACATGAGCTCCACCTCCAGCTTCCGCGACGCCACCGACACTCGCAAGAGGCAGTCCAAGCGTGACGAGGTGTGTATTTGCCTCTGTTTCCACTCGACCAAACAAACGGCTGAACTGACGCCTTTTCCCTTTTCCGAGTCCTCCAGGCCATTCGCAAGAAGATCGAGGGCGAACTGCAGCGCAAGTCGGGCAAGCCCGCTACGCCCATCGCCTCGCGCCGCACCAAGCGCTCGGCGCGTCCTCCCGTCGCCGCCGCCGGCACCGTCTCGGCGCTGCGTCCGCTGCCCGCACTCACCGTTCCGCAGTCCATCAGCGTCGCCGATGCGAGTCAGCTGTGCGCTGCCAAGCGCACCGACTGCGTGCTCGTCGTCGACGAGGAAGAGCATCTTGCCGGCATCTTCACCGCCAAGGACCTCGCCTTCCGTGTGGTCTCGGCTGGCCTCGATGCACGAAACACGCCCGTCTCCACCATCATGACACGCTCGCCCATGGTCACCCGCGACACCACTTCGGCCACCGAGGCGCTCAACACCATGGTCACGCGCGGCTTCCGTCACCTTCCCGTCTGCAACGAGGACGGCGACGTCGTCGGTCTGCTCGACATCGCAAAGGTGTTCTACGAGGCGCTCGAGAAGCTCGAACGCGCCCACGGCTCCTCCCAGAAGCTCTACAACGCCCTCGAGGGCGTCCAGAGCGAGTGGGGCGGCTCGGCGGGCCCGCAGCAGGCCATGCTCCAGTACATCGAGGCGCTGCGCCAGAAGATGAGCATCCCCGATCTCTCGTCCATCCTCGACTCGCGCACGCTCCCCTGCTGCGTCGGCGTGCGCACCACCGTCCGCGAGGCGGCTCGTCTCATGAAGGAGCACCACACCACCGCAGTCTGCGTCATGGAGTCCACCGGCACCGGTCCGGGCACCGGCCAGATCGGCGGCGGTGGCGCCGTCTCGGGCAAGATCGCCGGCATCTTTACGTCCAAGGACGTCGTCCTGCGTGTCATCGCTGCGGGCCTCGACCCCAAGACGTGCTCGGTGGTGCGTGTCATGACGCCGCACCCCGACACCGCCCCGCCCTCGTTGACCATCCAGGAGGCGCTGCGCAAGATGCACGATGGCAGATACCTCAACCTGCCCGTCGTAGACGTCGACAGCCGTCTGGTCGGCGTCGTCGACGTGCTCAAGCTCACCTACGCCACCCTGGAGCAGATCAACAGCATGAACGACGAGCAGGCAGGCGGCGACGGTGCTGCGGGCGGTCCCATGTGGAACCGGTTCTGGAACTCGTTTGGCCAGTCCAACTCGATCGCAGGCGACGACGAGTCGGCCGTCAGCGGCAGCATGCGCCACTCGGAGAGCCAGTTCGAACCGCCCACCCCGAGCAAGCTCGGCGCGGGCATTGCCGACATCTCGTCGGACCTCCACCCGAACGATTCGGCCAGTGCAGTGGGACATGCGCTCACCGGCGATGATGGCGCGAGCGCCATCGGCGTTCCCTCGTCGGCGGCCGTCGAGGCGGACGACGGCACGTATCTGTTCAAGTTTGTCACGCCCAGCGGCAGGACGCACCGCTTCCAGGCGCGGTACGATAGCTACGAGACGATCCGCGAGATCGTGTGCATCAAGCTCGGTGGCGATCCCTTCTTCGAGCCTGTCCCCGCAGCCGCTTCTGGCGCAGTGGAGAATGGTGAGGCGAACGGCGATGTGCAGCCGGCAGTCAACGGAGCAGCGGAAGTTCCGGATCCGAACGACTTCCAGCTGGCCTACACGGACGACGAGGAGGATGTGGTGCTGATCACGGCCGATGGTGATGTGCAGGATGCGGTCAAGGTGGCGCGCAAGCAGGGACGCGACCGTGTGGTGCTGCTGCTCCAAGGCGGACGTGGATGGGACGAGGCTGCTGCGCGAGCCGGAGCAGCGGCAACTCCGACAACCGCAGCCAGCCAGACGGCAAGGAAGCGTCAGCAGACGCGCGAAAATGCAGACGCCCAGCTGCAAAGCGTCGCCGAAGAGGAAGAGCGCGAAGCTGCAGACGAAGAAGTCGCGCCCAAGAAGACTGCCAAGCGCAAACCGGCCGACGAGGAGCTCCTGTTCGGCGTGCTTCCGAAGGACCTCGCGCTGCCCGCCGCAATCGGATTCCTAGGCGTTGCAGTCCTGGCTGCTGTAGCCATCACAAAGTCGGGCTCCAACGCGCATTGATCCGCGCCTCCTCACGTGAATCTCTCCACCCCACTCCTTGGCTCGCTCTCATAATTCAGATCTGCTTTTCGAAAACGCTGTGCGGATGTGGGTATTGCAGCGGGGTATGCGTGTGCGATCAAGACTGCGACTGTGGCGGAAGCTGTGCCTGCGACTGTGGCGGGTTGGGATTTCCCTCCACCGGCGGATCGGGCCCGTGCAGGAGGGCGGCATGCGAGAAGAGCCAGTCCCAGAGCGGGTTGTGGCCTCCGGACTCGGTGCGCGGCGACGACGGTTCCTGCCATGGTCGCAGGCTGTCTATGTACGGCCGCGAAGGGCGGCTGTACAGCTCGTCGGCGGGCTGCCACGGCATGAGCTGCGTCGGATCCAGCACATCCAGCGGTGCCGAACCCCAGCCCGATGCGAACGCCGGGATTAACGACTCGTCTGGCGTCACGTCCCACACGCTCGTACCGCAGTGCGCCTCAATGGGCACCGAGATCGCTCCGCCGCCACGCTCCGCCGCGCTCGTCGCCGAGTCGAGCGTCTGCTCGACGATCCGACGCGTCAAGCTGGCCAGATCGAGCGGCAAGCCGTGATGCGACTGCCACAGCCTCTGCTCCTCGGCGAGCAGCGTCTCGATGATGCGGCTGCCGCGATCCGAGCCCGGCGTCTCGCGCATGGTCGTCAGCGCCGTATGCACCTTGCGCCTGCGCCGCTCCCTCGCCTCTGCATCCATCTCGCTATCCAGCAGCAGCGAGATGATCAGCGTGAGCGTCGCGCCGAACAGATGCAAAAAGTTGACCCAGAACCCGTCGATCACCGGACACACGCTGCGCAGCAGCGTCTGCGTCGACACGATCTGCTCGGCCAACAGCGTGCAAGTCGCGCGCTCGCTGTACGACGCCAGACTCTTGCGGTTGAGCTTGAGCAGCACATTGAATGCCTGCTGATGCAGCAGACTCCGCTGCACCGCCACGATGGGTGGATGCATGGCGTTGCTCTCGAGCTCGTAGAACGGCGGCAGATCCGCAAGGAAAGTCTCGAGCTTCACCTGCAGCAGCTTGCGGTTGGTGGGCGAGATGGAGTCGTAGGTGCCGCCGAGCATGCTCTGTTCGTTGCGCAGGTCAATGCTCTCGCGGATGATGTTGGCGAGGCCGATCTGGCACAGCGTGTAGCTCATCTCGCAGTGCTCGCCGAGCGAGATCTCGTCGGTGCGGCCCGCGGCGAGCATGGCGTCGGTGGTATGGAGCGGCTTGCGCGTGGTCATCTGCGTCGGATGGATGGTGTAGGCACCCTCTCGCTGCGCCGAGCACCAATCCTTGACCACCAGATACCACCAGATGCGCACGCCCGTCTCGAGGCGCACAATGTCCTCGTCCGGATTTGCGGGCGAGGGCATGGCGCGTCCGAGGCGGTGCAGGCCCATGTCGAGTGCCGTCTGAATGGCGATGCGCAGCAGCATGCGCAGGTAGCTGGGCGAGTCGCGTCCGTCGAGGATCATGAGCAGCGCGGTCTGGATCGCCGTGAGCGATCCGAGGCTGAAGGTGCGATCCGCCGCGAGCGCACGCTTGGCGAGCGTCAGCCATTGGCCCGACACATTGTCGCCGCGATTCTTGAGAGCGTTGATGGCGATAAATTCGGGCGAGGAGTCGCTGGTGAACGGGCTGGCCTTCCACGGGTAGAAGCGCAAGCCGAGGCGCAGCACCATGAGGTAACGCGCGAGATCGTACATGCCTTTGGGTGAGAGCAGGCACTCCTCGACCGAGGCGTGCGTGAAAAAGTCAATGTCGCGCTGGAAGCTGGGCATGTGCACGATGCGGCCCACCCAACTGTGACAGCGGACATTGAAAGTGTGGATGAGGGTGTCGGCGATGAACTTGGACGGGATGATGCGCTTTGCCAAGGTGAGGATCTCGATGCGCTCGTTGAGCGCCGTGGGCGGCGCAAAGTAGGCGTTGGGTGCATCCGGAGGGATCTGGGAGTTGGAGACGTTGTTGATCTGCTTGGCCATGGCCTTGCCGTGGCCCGGCTCGGTGACGCGCGGATCGGAGGCGGCGAGCTTTTCGAGCGTTGTGAGCGACGTTTCGGTCTCGCCGGGCAGCTGGTCGTCGTCCGAGTCAAAGGAAGCAGCGGTAGGGCTGGCGTTGTTGCGCGAATGGCTGTAGTCGAGGTCGGACGGAGCGGATGTCTGGGAGCCACGCGAGCTGGTGCCGAGCATGTGTGAGGGAATCGAGCGCTTGTCGGAAAGCCGTTGGCTGGAAGAGGACGAGGCTGGACGGGGCGAGGAGCTGCGACGGTTCTGGCGAGCCATCATGTCCTCGAGCTCCTTGACGCGTCTGCGGAGCGCGGCGATCTCTTCGTCCGGACCGGAGGACGAGGTTGCACTGATCTTGGGGCGCTTCCTGCCACGGGGAATCCTGGCATCCTTGCGGCAATCATCGTGGACGCCCTTTGCGATGCACTGGTTGCACGGGAGGTCGGTGTCGCATTTGAGCTTTTTCTGGCGGCAGCGCGAGCAGGAGGGTGTGAAGCGGTGGATGTTGGCGAGCTGGTGCTGCTGTTCAGGGACGAGCTGGTGCGCTGGACGCTGTACGGTTGCCGGCAGACTGGACGACGACTGCTGCGCCGAGTACGGTGTCGAGGTGACGTGCGAAGTCGAGTGAGACGGCATCATGGGAGCGTGTTCCTGGTCGGGATATTCGCTCTTGAGGGGGGCATGGTGCGCGTGGCGCGTGTGGAGCGCATCATGAGCTGGGTAAGCGTGGTTTTGATGTTGTTGGTGGTGGCGGGAATGGTGGCGACCATGGTAGAGCTGCTGATGGCGTGGCGAAGCGGGCCGCACAGCGACGTCGTACGCCGGCGGCGGCCTCGGGTGACCGTAGGGGTCGCCTTGGACCGGCATGTTTGTGTCTATGCTGCCACTGGCATGGGAGGCGAGAGCAGAGAGAGCGCTCTTCGGATGCTGTTTGGTGGACCCGTGTGTTGTCCGTGCGTGTGGTGATTAGAGGATCAGACGGTCACGATACATGTCTCTGCGATGGTGGTGTTGAGTGAAGCGCAAAGTTGCGCCGCGCCGGAGACTCGGGCGGGACAGTGGAGAAAGCGAGGGACAGTGGAGAACGCGAGGATTAGCGGCTCGGCGGCTCCACGGGGAGTCGAGCGGGGCACAGCAGCACAGCAGCACAGCAGCAGAGATGGCTGCGACTGTGATTTCTCGGCTCAAAAGTGCGGCCCATTCGGAGACGCATCCGCGGCTGCATTTCCGTGCCTTTTGTCTGCCCTGCGCTTCTGCGTGAGTTTGCTGCATTGCAGCAGCAGCAGCGTCTGAGATCTGCTGCAACTGAGCAGCGGGGGCGCGAGATTCGGCTTGGTGAGCCGAACCCAGCCAAATTTCCCCTTGGCCGGTCATCGGACCCTTGGGCTGCAAACGTGGGCCGAGCTGCTTTTGTTGCTGCTGCGCTGCATTTTCATGCCGGACGATATAAGATTTCAGACGCAGGTTCCAGGCCGCGTCCGGTTCGAGTCGGTGAGACATGCCGTCTGCATCGAAGCGGGCGCATCTCGGGGCGCGCGCGCGGACTTCTAAATTGTTAGATTTGACATCGCTTTTGGACGCCGGTCGCCGTTGGGCATCCATCACTCTGCGTGGCAGCGAATCACGCATGACTTCTTCTTCTCACTCATGCGCTCCGAGCCGGATGTACGGATCGGAGCGCCAAGGTTGATGTTTTCAGTCTATCCGGAGGAAGCTGTGCCGTTGCGCATCTCGATCGGACCTTACACTTGTGGCTGCGACAGGTGTTTTGTGCAGCAATCCGAAGGTGTAGGAAAACTCGCAGGTCGGCACTTAGCCGTGTGTTCGGGATTGCCCTGTAGATCAACACATGCACTCTGGCAAACTTTTGCAGTTCACCACCGAGTACCACACCAGTCACTCTACCTTGGCATCTTTTTATGATGACCGTTGAGTGTCGACCAAGGGCAATCTGTTTCCAGCATGGCGAGTGGTGTGAAACTATGTGTGACTAGCTACACCGCCGATCTCCTTGTGCACTAATCTTTCCTGCACATCTCTCAGGGCGCCGGTACCCGCGCCCGCCAACAATCCCAGCTGGAACACCCTCACCGCTGCAGGCCGTGGCAGTTGGTACAGCGTTGTAGCTGCGGCGGCAGTCACCACTCCGGCGAGTGCACCGTCGGTCCAGTGTCCCAGAATCTTGAACTTGCGCTGTACGTCCATCGCTGGCGTAGAGCGGAAGTGGCTCTGCACCGCACCGCGCGTCAGCTCCGCCATACGCTCAGCCAGGCAGAATCCGGTGGTCCAGATTCCCAACCGCACGCCTTGCTTCAGTCCACCCTTGGCCGCACCCAGCATCACCTTGTAGTTTTTGGTCTTGGAGTAAAAGTACCACCCTTGCACCGTGTCCGGCAGCCGGTGTGCGTTTTCGGCCATAAACACGAGTCCGGCGCGCTTGCCCGCCGTCAACACGCCCGATACAAGGCCCAGCCCAAACGCTGTGCTTGGCAGTACGGGGGAGATGGCCAGCACGGAGCGCAGCATCGAGGGCGTGCCAGTGTCGCGTTCGACGTCTTCCAAGGGTGAGTGCACCGCATACGTTCGCTCCGAGGTGGAGATCGAGTCGTTGGTCGCTGCTGATGCACCGGCAAAGCGACGCTGCACCTCGAAATCGCGCTCGCTGTCGAGCTGCGTCTTGAGCGTGCTTACCCATTCTTCGAAGCTGCCCGCGCGGCTCAGGTCCGTCAGCGCCTCGTCAACCGACTTGGGCTCCGACGCGTGATGGCCGCTCGAGGGCAGGTCGGCTTCGTCGCGCGTGACATGCATGTGAGGAGCCACGCCCTTCAATGACGCCTCGCCCCTCTGGCGACTCGGCACGATGCGCGTCATGGCAACGACGAATTCGTCCATCGTTTCGACGCCCAATGCGCGCTTCGCCACTTCGACGCCTGCCAGCGTCGTGAAGCTGACGATCGACGTGGCAATGAAGAATGCCTTCAGAGACAGGCCAACGGGCGACTGGAAGAAACCTGTGGGTCCAGACTCGCGCGATGCTTCTTCTTCCAGCGCCTTCATGCGTTGCTGCTCGTCGGCGGGAACGGACGATGAGAGACCGAGAAAGTCGAGCGTGGAATCCATCTCGCTGTAGTCGATCTTGGTGTCGCTCGGATGCGTGAGTGTCGTGCTCGAAGCGGTCGCCGCCGCCATGATCGGAGCCTGTTCCGCGGTCGGAGCTCTCGTGATAGTCGAACTAGCGCTAGATGCTGCTGGCGAGCGTTTGCGACGCAGCACGCTGGGCAGCGCGCCCGTCTCGTCGTCGAACACAGATGTAGGCGCTGCCGTCCCAGCTGCTCTCTGAGTCGGATTTAGGATGGCCGAGTTCATCTGGCGGAAGAGCGCAAATGCGCCCTGTGATGCTGGAGCTTCTGCTTCGGCATGCGCTTCGGAGCCTGACGCCTGCTCGACGGGTGATGCGGGCTCAGGTCGGGCGAGCGAGTGTGGTGAGAGGGACGACGGTACACGCGCGGTAGCTGCTCCTGGCAGCTGCCCCGACGTCGCAGCCGCCTTTGCGAGTTCTTCGGCCTCCTTGATCGCTTGCAATCGTGCCTTTCTCAGGCCATAGATCGTTGCGCCCGTAAGACCGACTACGAAAGCACCGCCGGAAAGTGTAGCGATGAAGGTCTTTTTGTCCGGCAGACGCGCCTGATAGCTCGTAGATGCCTCGGGCGACGCACCTGCGTTCTTAGCGGTCGCTCCCAGTGTCGCCATGTTGCCGAAAGCGGGGCAGAGGAAAGGAACGTGAAGATGTGTGGTGAAGGTTGGCTGGGTGCGAAGCTCACGTTGGCTTCAAGTTGGACTTTGTCCGAATTCCAAATCACTTTTTTAGCCGCGCCGCTGCCGCCTTTTTCGGAACGCGGGGCAGGATTGCCGCAAGCCGCTATTATGGGTGCCCCTCGACGGCCTCAATCGAGCGTCCCTCGAACAACTAGCTCAGCGGTCACATGCGGGGCAGAGCCAAATGAGGTAGAGGTATCCATGTTTGATGTGCGAGCGGTACAAGTACATTTTGTGATGGCAGTGGCAAGGACAAGACCCACGGCTAGTCCATTTCTACTCTATGCAGCTGAGCAGTAGTAGACTTGGGTTCAATCGAGCTGTGCGAGCTGCTGTTCGAGCTTGCGCTTCTTGCTCTGCAGCGTCTCGATCTCGCCCCTGGTTGTGATGTTGGCGACCTCGAGCTGGAGCCCGCGCGAGATGAGCTCGGTCCACCTCTTTTCAAGCACGCTCAGCTTTGCGCCTGCGTCGGTCTGCTCCTTTTGCCGCAGCCTGTTGACCTCGTTGGTCTCAGTCTTGAGTGCCTCGACCTGTTCGGACAGCATCCGGATCTGCTGCTCCTGCTGAAAGTTCGACAGCCGCCACGCATTGCTGCCGTATCGTTTCAGGAGCTCGATGTTCTTGAGCCTCACGTCCATGTGCCCGAGCTGGGCATGGGCATTGTCGACGGCAGTCTGCCATTCCTCGAGCGATGCATCCGCGCCAGCTTCGGGAGCAGAGAGATTATAGCGTTGCGTATCCAGCGTGTGAGATGATGGCTGGCTTGAACCGACACGCTCGAGTTCGGCGCGCAGATCGGGGCGTGTGCTGAAGGGGACGTACGCGGGCGGGAGGCGCGAGGAGCTCGGATCGACGGCAGGCATAGTAGACTGTTCCGCGGCTATCAATGCGTCGACCTTTGCACGCAGACCAGGTTGCAGTTCGAGATCCCGGTCGAAGTACGGCAACGCGTCGGTCGCGGCGAGGTCCACGGGGTGGTAGGCGAACGGATCGCCGGATGAGGTTGATGACGAGGCGTTCTCCGTTTGTTCATCGTGTCCATTCAACTGTGCCGCAGATGCTGAGGAAGAAGCTTCGTCCGGCTCGGAGGCTTGCGACCCGTTGGGTGCGCGTCCTCGTGTCCTCGCCATGGTCTCGGGGGTCGGCACGTTTACGCCAGTCGTGCTCTTGAGATGCTCCTTACAGAGGTGACAGAGACGAAGGCAGAGAGTACAGGCTTGCGAGAGAGCGTAGGAAATCAGCAGCTAGCCGCACAGCGAAGGTGATCGAGTCGCGGGCGCTTAGGAGAATCGATGAGAAGCTAAGGACAGCATTTCCCAGCGAGGATGGAGGTTCTAGCCGTCGAGACACATCCGCGACCCGAGATTTGTGGCTCTTTGTTAGGCCGAGAGAATCACCAAAATGTTACATTTTCTTAGCTCCAATCTCGGAGCCGATGCTTGTCGCGAAGACTGGGTCTGCGATCGCACCCGGCCAGTGTGTGTGGTGTGGCTGTAGGCTGCCAATTTGTCATCCGCCCAGGCGCACTCTGTGCAGTTCGACATTCTCCACCTCTCCGCAACCACATCACCACCACCATCCTTCTGCACTGTACCCGACACAGACCACCTCGGCACGGTTTCTTGCAAGGTGCACAACATGTCGGCTCGATCGCTCGTTTCCAGCTCGCTACTGCGCGCCGTCTCGGCCAGGAACGCCACCTCGAGCGTGCGCGCATCGGCCGTCCCCATGGCCCTGCGCGGCTTTGCCTCGTCGGTAGCCCAGTCTTCGGCACGTCCCACAATCCAGGGCGATGGTAAGGGCGACCGCGTCAACCCCGCTAGCCCCTTTGCTGAGCCTGCGGGATCCAACCCCGTGGAGAAGTACAAGGACATCGCAGGCCCGCTGCATGACTTTGGCTCCTACATCACTTCTTGTAAGCCTCGGCCACCCCAAACCTTGGTCCAATGGCAAGGAAAGAAGGTAAAAATGCTGACACTTTTCCGCTTTGTTGATGTCGCACAGGCCTGCCCAAGTTCATCCAGCAGTTCAGTGTGGTCAAGGACGAGTTGACGCTCTACGTTGCGCCGGACGCCGTGATCCCCACCTTGACGTTCCTGCGCGACCACACGCAGACGCAGTTCCGTGCATGCATGGACATCAGCGGTGCCGACTATCCCACGCGCTCGCAGCGTTTCGAGGTGGTCTACCACCTGCTGTCCGTGCAGTACAACGCACGCATTCGCGTCAAGACGTACGCCGATGAGGTGCACCCCGTTCCTTCCGCCACCGCCGTCTTCCGCGCCGCAGACTGGTACGAGCGCGAGATCTGGGACATGTACGGCGTCTTCTTCATCGGCCACCCAGACCTGCGCCGCATTCTCACCGACTACGGCTTCGAGGGTCACCCGCTCAGGAAGGACTTCCCGCTCACCGGCTACACCGAGGTCCGATACGACGAGGAGAAGAAGCGTGTCGTCTCGGAACCGCTCCAGCTCACCCAGGCGTTCAGGAACTTCGAGGCCAACAGCCCCTGGGAGCAGGTGGGCGAGGGTGAGAGCTACAAGCCCAACGAGTTCAAGTTGACCCCGCCCAAGCCAAAGGAAGACGCAAAGGACAAGAAGTAAATTCCCCGCACCCACATCTTCCCCTTACACTCAACGCAGCCTTGTACCAGCCGTCCCGAGAATCGTGTTTTGCCTCTGTCTGCTCCGTATGCGGAAGCCGTGGACACACACGCACACATTGGGAACTGATTGAAGAGAGACTCACGACTGCCATTGCACAAGAAGGTGATTGAGCTGCTGATCTTCTGGTCAAACGGAGGACGGCACCTCATGTCTTGGCGTCGGCATTCAACTTGTTGAGCGCCGACTTTGCGCGCTCGCGCACGTCGAGCTCTGCATCCGACTGAGCCAGTTCGGCGATTTTGACATCAAGCCCAAACGTAGTCAGTCTTGCCTTTGCCTCGGAATGCAGATCGGGATACGCCGCGTCCGCCTCGAGCTGCGTCGGCGGCTCGGCGCTCGACTTGGGCCTGGAGAGCAGATTGCCGATGCATCTCGCGGCTGCGACGCGGATATCCTTCCACGGATGGTTGCAGAAGAACGCCAGCGCGTCCATGATGTTGGGTCTTCTCAGCAGCAGCTTTCTGTGCTGTTCCGTTCCCGTGGCTACGTTGACGAGCACGAAGGCCGCCTGTTCGATCACGGCAGCGCCGGGCTCACCCGCACTGCGGCCTTCCCAGATGCACTTTTCGAGCGTCGCCATGAGGCGCGCGCCGCCGCCCATGCCATCCACCATGAACGTCACGTCGGACTCCTTGGACGCTGCAGCGTTGCGCAGGATGTTGAGCGCTTGCTCCTTGAACACCATCTCCACCTCGGCGTCCTCGCACAGCGCGGCCACAAACTTGAAGTCGAGCTTTTCCATCACGTCCACCTTGAGCGCCGTGTCGGAATGCGACAGCAGATTCTTGAGCGCCCACAGCGCGTGCAGCCTGAGCTGCTGCGATCCAGATAGCCCGGCACGCACAGCGCGAACCGCATGCTCTTTGCCCGCACCCGGCACACTGCTCGTGTGCATCGTGGCTGCAGCCGACAGCGCGTAGTACCGATCCTCACCCTCGTCTGCGCGGGGCCGCGCCCCGCCGTGCGCCAGTTCGACCAGGCTGTCTACACCTCCGAGCTCCTGGATGAGCTTCTTCATCGGGCTAAAGTCGAGCACCAGATTGCAGATCGCCGCCGTCGCCTCGACGCGCACTACCTCTTCCTCGTGCGCATCCTGCAGCAGCGCAACAAGCTTGGGCGCCACACCTGCATCGACGATCGAGGTGCGTAGGATCGAGAGGCTGCGCGAAAGCGCGCGCGTCAGACGGCACGCCGACACGCGTACACCGAGCGCCGGGAAGCTGATGCTCGACACCACCATGGCCAGCACAGGCGGCTGCACCGAGTCGATCAGCTTGCGCCGCGGCTCGTCGTGCTGGAAGGTGAGTGCGGCCAGTGCCGTGAGGCATGCCTCGCGCAGCCGGATCGCTGACTCATCCACCGTCGGCGGCGCTACACCGATCGTACTGTCTGCCCTCGTCTTGGTCCCCGCAATGCTGCCCAGAATCGCGGCCGCCGCCGTGTTGGAGCGATCCACCTTGGCTGCAGGGCCGGACGGTTGGCTGCGCGTGCACGCGTGGTCGAGCAAGAGCGCGAGCTTTGACAGCGCATCGTAACTCTCGGTCGCGAGGTTTTGCAGCGTGACATTGTCGGCCACCAGGCGGGCAATGGCGAAGGCAGCCTGGATCTGGATCTCGACATGGCTGGAGCCTTGATACTGGGATGGGGATGCACCGGTCGTAGCAGCTGGCGCGACCGAGGGCGAGCGGTCGAGCAGTTCCATCAGTACCTCCAGCACGCACTGGTTAGTCTTGGCGCTGAAGGGATGGACCTTGATAATGTTGGCGAGGCAGCAAAAGGCTGCGAGCCGGACGTTGGCGCTGCTCGTGTGGCGGAAGTTGAGCAGCACCGACGTCGGGAGCAGGCCCAACGGCGAAAGGCACTTGAATAGACGCGCAGAGGCTTCGGGCTCGTCGCGCGTCAGCTCCACCAGGCAGTGCAAGGCAGCCTCCTGCGCTTTCACAAAACCAGATTCAGCAGCGGCGAGCAGGACTGTGAGAAGGGTAGGCGGGCCAGTTGAGGCGAGATCGGAGGGTGCGCGAAGCTGCTCAACTTCGTCCTCGGTCCACGGCGGCAGGGGTGGCGTGTCGAAGGTGCCTGCGTGCTCAACGTCCTTCATGCGCGATCGAGAGCGCGAGCCTTTGCGGATGACCTCAGCCTGCAGCTGCGAGGAGGAACGGCTCGCGGGGACTGCTTCGCTGCGACCACGTGCTCCCGGGCCGAGCTTGAAGTCGGGAGCAAAGGGACTTTCGACGGCGCTAAAGTCGAGGATCCTCTCGCGACGCTGCGAGATCTGGTCTGCAACCGATGTGGAATTGACGGCGGGTGCGTCCGGTGCATAGCCCGGGATGAACAAGGTGCCTGAGAGGATGGCGCAGATCATTTCGACGACGCCGAGGATCTTGGTCTTGACCGTCATGGGAAGGCGCTCGACATCGATGACAACCTGCGGACCTTCCTCGCCCGAGGTTTGAGCTTGAGCGCCCTCGTGGCGCACATCGTCAACGGCAGTAGCGGAGGAGCTCGCGCCCAACCTCATCGGCGAGGCTGAATGTGAAGTTGCCGTGGAGGATGGACGCATGGCAGAAGTCTGCTCCTGCGGTAGTTGGCACATGAAGAGAGGCCCGAGCAGCAACGCAAGATTGGCAGGGTCGTAGACCCGAGCCAGGAAGATTCTGGCGAGACGGCGAAGCTCGCGCTGCTGCTGGGCTTCCGACTCGACCTGATCGTGTCTGAGCTTGTCGCGCAGATTGTCATTGCTGGCGCTGTTCATGAGGACGTCCTGAATGGGGACAGGAGATGCGGGAAGCGAATCGCGGCTGCTCTTGCCAAAGATTTTGGAGGTTGCAGCAACAGCGCCTGGGTTGGAGATGGCTACGCCTGCCGGCGCAGGCTTGGTGCCCCAGCTGGATCCGATTCCCCAGCGAGGACTTGGAGACAGCTGGTCAGCGACAGACAGCAAGATGGATCTCAAAGCCCTCAGGACCGACTCGAGGAGCCGAAGTGTGTCGAACGAGCCATGGACCGGATCGAGGATGTGACGTCCCGAGCGGTTCAAGTCGTGAGTGAGGTTGGTGAGGCAGGCGAGCAGCGCGTCGTGGGTGCCCGATCGCATGAGCTGGAGCATGGTGGAATGAGCCGGCGTATTGGCGAGCGAAGCGACGATGGTGGCCGCGAGGCTGACGAGGTCGAATGCATGGGGAGTGGCGCCGAGGTCGACGTGAAGCAGCTCGACGAGCTGCTGGATGACGCGCGTGTGGACGAGGCTGGACTTTTTGGTGCGCGAGCCGATGACGGCGTTGCGGATGGCCTTGAGTTGGGAGATGGCGCGTTCAGGGTCGTCGAGGTCGAGCTGCATGGGCAGGGGCTGCGAGGTGGCCGTCGCGCCGAGGAAGGAAGGGAGCGCCATCGTCATTGCACGCAGCTCGCACTCGGCGTGTCGAGCGAGCGAGTGCTTCAAAGATGTGGCTGTCGATGCGGAACCAAGAGATGCGGATGATGGTCGCAAAGTGGGTTGGAGGGCGAGAGTGTCAATGCGCCGGTGGTATGGGCCTGGCATCCCCGCGTATTTCGCGGCGTGGGAGCTTTGGGACGCGACCTCTCTCGGATGCTGCTGCTCTCGGCCAGTGTGTGCGGATGTGGAGCAAAATGCGTGGCCGAAGCGCTCGTGCAGCTACACTCCGCCGATCCCGACAGCGCGCGTGGGTTTGTTCATGTGGAGACCCTCGCCGCTGTTGTAGAGACGCGACTCACTCGCCTCGCCCCGCTCACCCACTCGAGAGGCGCTCGATCCATCACTTGTCCACAGTCACTACACAGCGAGTCCAACGGCAAGCAGATATTGAGGAAAGGCGGTGACAAATCCAAGCAAACACACACGACCAGACAGGGGAATACGGGACCGGGAATGCAAGCCTCTCTGTAGATCGAGACTGCGGGTGCGAGGGTATAGATGGAGGCGACGGCGATCAGAGCTTGAACACCATGTCTTCGCTGAACATGATGCTGTTCTCGCGATGCATTTGTTCGAGCACCTGGCGCGCCTCGTTGCTGTCGAACAGGTCTTCGGTGCGGCGACCTTCGTTCATCACGGGCAGCAGCTCGTCGAGCGGGATCGCATCCGTCTCCGCCAGTCGGCCGTCGGACGCGAAGAGCAGGTCGGAAAGCGACTCCTTGAACGCCTCGATTCGCTGTGCCGACACCGCCCGCGGTGCACTCGGCGGTGGGGCCTGCGAAGGAATGACCACCTCGACGTCAAGCGACCTCATCGCCTCGAGCGCATCCATGTCTTCCTCGTCGAGCATCTCTTCGTCCATGCCGCCCGGTCCCACCATCGCGGCTTTGGGCTTGGCACGTCCCGCTGATGCCGCACGCGTCGCATACGTGCCGTTGGATCGTGTTGAGCGCTGCGACGACACAAACGCACCCGCGTCGTCGTCGTCGTCATCGCTGCTGTGCGCATCTTCGCCGTAGCGATCGCCGCCTCGCCTGCCGCCGTCGCGACTGCGACCTCCTCGCACCCGGCTGCCACCGCGGTAGGCTGCATTCGGGTCGGTGCGCGCTGCCTCGTCGGCGCTGTCATCGTCATCGTCGTCGTCGTCCTGGTCCTCGTCGTCGCTCATCGGGCTGTTGCCCGTGCGGCGACGCTTGTTGGCGGCACGACGGCCACCCAGCACCTCCTTGAACAGCGCAAAGCGCAGAATCTCCTCGGCCGCCTCGGCGTCGCGCTCCTCGACCTTGCTGCTCAGTCGGCTCTTGGCGTGCGCCGTGGCGAGACGGATGAGCGTCTCGAGCGTACGCGCGGTGAGCGGCGACGTGCGCTTCTGGTTTCCCGACAGCTCGTCGTTGCGCAGGTTCGAGTAGACATTGACGATCCACTCGGCTGCACCCTTGGTCAGCACGGGGTGGATGCGCGACTTGGCGTACTGAACGTACTTCTTGATGAAGGCAATCGACAGCACCTCCTTCTTGTCGTTGCCGCGGCCCGAGCCCGTCACGCCAGAGTGCAGCAGCGGGTTGTACTTTTCAAACGGCGAAGTGTCGCCGAGCATCGCGGCGCCGTCGGCATCCGTGCCCTCGGGAGCGCCCACATCGAGCGCCTGGTCGAGGTTGTCTACAGCTGGCGTGCCCTCCTCGAGCCCGGGCTGGAGGTATCGGTGCATGCGCAGCACGTGCTCCGAGATCATGCGGTCGCGCTGCTCGTCCACGTCGTCGGTCACCACAAACAGCAAATCGAAACGCGACAGCAGCGAGTCCGGCAGCGCAATGTTCTTGTGCGGGTCCTTGTGCACGTCGTACTGGCCGTAGATCGGGTTGGCTGCCGCCACGACCGAACAGCGCGCGTTCAAACTCGTGTGGATGCCCGCTTTGGCGATGGTGACCGTCTGCTGCTCCATGACTTCGTGGATCGCCACACGGTCGACGTCGCTCATCTTGTCGAACTCGTCGATGCAGATGACGCCGCGATCGGCCAGCACCATGGCACCTGCCTCGAGTCGACGCTCGCCCGTCTCCTTGTCCGTCGTCACCGCCGCCGTCAGACCGACGCCACTCGAGCCTCGACCCGTGGTGGCGATGGCAAGCGGCGCCGTGTTGAGCACGAAACGCAGCATCTGCGACTTGGCCGTCGACGGGTCTCCGACCATGAGGATGTTGATGTCTCCACGGATGTGCGTGCCGTTGGGCAGATTCTTCTCCTCGCCTCCGAGCAGCAGCAGCAGTACGGCCTTCTTGATGTACTCGTGGCCGTAGATCGACGGCGCCAGCGACTGCGACAGCAGGTTGAAGACGTTCTTGCGCTTGGCGATCTTGTTGATGTTGCGGATGTCGGTGTCGGTGATGTGCGCCTGGGCGATGCCGCCGCCGGCCTTGGATGAGAGCAGGTTGATGTTGTTGCCGATCATGAGCGTGCGGAAGGTGGACGACGAGCTCTGGCCGACGCGGTTGCCCAGCGAGCGGTACATGCCGACGAGCTGGATGCGGTCGCCGGGCTTGCAGCGGTCGACCATGTCGTCGTCCATGACGACGTCGATGCTGCGCGGCAGCTGGCCAGGCGGGGCGCGCTCGGGCATTTCCTGGATCGAGATCATCTGGTGGTCGCGGAACTGACTGTGGCCGTACTCGGTGGTGAGGCGGTTGCCGCTCTCGTCCTCGGTCGGGTAGACGGTGGACGAAGGGGGCAGGGTGCCGTACATGGTGGCATCACGGTACTCGCGCTGGTGGAACTTGGCCGTGTTTTCGCAGTAGTGGACCGACTTGAGGATCTTGGGGCGCACGAGCGAGCAGCGCGTGACGATGCCCTCGAGACTCATCATCTTGCCGAGGTGGACGCTACGCAGCGTACGCGGGTTGACATGGTGGTCGCC